CGCGGTCGGCGGATTGGCTGATGGAGCGGAGGCGTTTTGCATCGGGCGCGTCTAGCAGGCGCCTTTCGTGCGAAGTCGTGTGTTTCCCAGCGGTGTACGGCTGGTCGTCGGCGGTAAGGACCTCGCTTGTGCGTGGTGCGGTGGTGCCTGGTCGTATGCGCCATTCCACTTGATGGTTCCCCGCTGGCTGATGTCCGCACATTGGCACCTGCGCTTGCCGTCCAGTGGGTTCCGTAGTCGGCGCCACCTCGCGCCGCAGCCGGTGCAGATCGTCTTAGGTCCCTGGGTGTTCCATGGTGGTGGTGCGTCGTTGCTGGGGCCGGGGTCGTGGTCGTCCGTGCGCATCTTGTCCGCCCCTTCTGTATCCAGTAGAGTTTGCCCAAAATCGTTCCCATCGTGGTTCTTTGCTGGATCATCTCAGGCGACGTAGCGGACGGGTTGCGCGGCCTCGGGTTTCGGTACTTCGAAATCCATGTTGGTCATCGATGACGACGGAGCGTAGTGGCTGATCTCGTCGATGGCGAGTATGCCGTTGTTGCGGTCGTTCCGTTCCTTCGCTTCCAGTTCTCCGGAGGGTCCCATGTGTATTCCTGAGGGCTGAGGTTGTGGTAGTATGCCTGGGGTACATCGTTCTTAGGGCACGCTTTCCATTGGCACGACCGCCTCATGTGGTGCGATGGCAGCTGATGTAGTCCAGCTGGCAGGTTTTGTAATTCATTGTTTTTCGGTTCGTAATCTAGTGGTGTGGTTTTGCGCGCGGTTTGCGGTCTTGCGCACGACTCGGCATGGGCCTTGGTTGTAAGTCTGGTGGGTCCAGGATGCTTGGTGAACTGTCCGTTTTCGTGTCGCAGTCAGCGTCGGTTTGATCACGAGTACCTTTGCACTGCTGACGCAGGTTGGCAATGTGGGAATGCCTTTGCCGATTTCGCCTCTGGTGGTGTACGTGTGTGCTGTGTACGCAGGCTCCCGCTCGGTGGGGTCTATCGCCTGCAATGAAGGGAGCATGCTGTGGTACCCTGGCATCTGCGTGAGCCCTGCTCGGTTGAGCTTCTCGTTGTAGGCCAGATCGTGGTTCATCTCGTGGGACCCCTTCATTCTGGCCAGGACCTTGTCGACGGCGGTCTTGGGTTCCTGGCTGAAGCCGTCGTCGTTCATCACGTGGATAAAAGGGGGTTGCCGTGGACACTGACCGTAGTCGGTGGTTGCCATGTTGCCGTGTCCTTGGAAAGTCGCTGAATGGCCGTTGGTTTTGGTGGTGATATCAGGCCCATGTGCATTTTATTCATTGATTTACGCCGCACCGCCGACCCCTTGGGGCGGCAGCAAGAGTGAAAGACAGAATTCGCGGAACGCGCGCGATCGCTGGGCAATCTTGGGGTTTTCGGACTGTTCTGCGTAGCGTTCGGGGTTCAAGGGGGGGCCTTGTTGGGGATTGTTTTGAAGTTGTCGTGGTCTTATGTGAGTTTCTTGGGGCCTTCACGGGGCCTGTCCCGGGCCTCCTTTTCCACCTCCTGGATAGGCTCGGGGGTCGCTGAGACCCGGCTGGGGTTGCGTCCGGCAAGAAGTTCGAGAGTGGACCCAATTGTGTCGACGAGGAGCTTCCTGAAGGCCCAAAGGGGGCGGAGAGCGCCCAAGAAGTAGGAGTCCCATGCCTCGAGCCTCGATCTACCCTGTGTTCCTTCCTTTGCGAAGGGGTGGTACCGGCCAAGGAGGTCGATCCTCATCCCGGACTTTCGGCGGTGGTCCCGGGCACCGAAAACGGTTCCTGGAGGCTGATTTCGAGAAGATGCTTCGGGTAGTTGAAAGGCCACGAAAATCTGTGAGACATCGGCGGCGACGACGAAATCTGATTTGTTTTCCTCTTCCTCCTCTTCCTCCTCCTCGTCCTTCTCCTTTTTTTCTTCTCGCTCGAGGTAGATGCCTGCGGCACTTCACACACACATGTATTTGTATATATATATATATATATACAACACTGCAGTGGCGCTTCGCGCCATGCACCTTGGTCCTTGAAGTTTGGTTTGCTGTTGGAATTGCAGGAAGATCAAGCCGACAATTTAGCGATAACTCCTTGTTGCCTTTTCCGGCATCGCCGCTATGATAATGATTTTCGTTATCCTTCTTCCATGCTTCTTTTTCCGCATGTTCGCCATACCCTGCGCATTCTCCCTATCCTCCTCAGTTTTTTTTTGCGGAGGCTCCTCCTGGGAGAGCCTCTGGGGGCCTAAAACAATTGTTTCGGGCTTTCTTAAGGCCTTCTGGAGGCCTCCTGGGCGTATTCTTGGAGCCTCTAGGGACTTCCTCGGGCTACCCTGCCTCCAACCACGGTCTCCCTAAACGACCGGGTCACGATTCGGGGTGTCTTGGGGCCATCTTGGGCCGCCATGGGGTTCTCTGAGGACCATCTTGTGACCCGTGTTGTGCCGTTTTGGGGCTCTTTTGGACTGCTTGGAAGCCTTTTCGGATGGTTGTGGGGCGATTTTGGAGCCTCCCAGGTGGCTTCGGACGCCCAGAAGACCGCCGTCTTGGAGCGTCCGGAAGCCGAAAAGAGGAGAACCCCAAAATTCACCAAAAACTGTCAGAAAGTCAATGATTTTTGCCTCTTGGGAGTGCTCTTGGAGGCCTCTTTGGGGCCGTCCTGGAGGCCTCCTGGGCCATCTTGAGGTCACGTCGGTCACTCTTGGAGCGCTCTTGAGCTGTCATGGGGGTCTCTGAGACGTCTCCGATGACCCCCGTGATCGCCCTAGGTCTGCTGGGAAGGCTTGGCAAAACGCCCTGCGAGGCCAGGGGGGCCGCTTCGAGGCCCGTCCGGAGGGTCCCAAAGCCTCAGATCCCGGGAGTCCGGTTTTTTTTTGGGGGGGGCGATGGGTTTTCCCCCCGCCCGGGCTTATAAAAATATAGGAAGAGGAATATCGAAGACGCCTACGGCGAATCACCGCCGCCCCCTGCCTTTTTGGAAGCGCCGATGTGGCCGAACGTTGAGGCCAGACCTGCTAAGCCATCGGACCATGTGTTCCCCGAGTCGGTTTAGAAAACCTTCGGGGAACACGTGGGCATCTTGAAGGTCATCTTGGCCGTCTTGGAGGCCTCTTGGGCGATCTTTCGGCGATCTTTGGGGGCTCTTGGGCCGTCTCGGGCCGCCGGAAGGCCGAAAAGAAGGAAATGTCAACATCCGTCGAAAACCTTAGGAACATCTAGGTTTTTTGCCTTTTCTGGCCTTCCTGGAGGCCCTCTTGGGGGCCTCTTGGGCCGTCTTGGGCCAGCTTCGAGCCAACTTCGGCCATCTTGGTTGGTTCCTGGCACGTCTGACGCCGTCGGGAGCCGTCTTGGGGGCCTTTCTGGGCCAACGGGGTACCCTCTTGGGGCGCTTCGGGGCCGTCTGGGAGGCCATCTTGGGCGTCTTGGAGGCCATCTTGGGCGTGTTGGAGGCCTCTTGGGCCGTCTTGGGGCCGTCATGGGGCCATCTTGGAGGCCACTTGGGCCGTCATGGGGCCATCTTGGGAGCCTCTTGGTTGATCTGGGCCTCTTGGGCCGTCTTGAGCCGTCGGAATGCCGAGAAGAAGCAAATTCCAAAATCAAAAAAACCGAAGGAAACTCAATGATTTTGGCCTCTTCGGGCCCTCCTGGAGGACCTCTTGGAGGCCTCTTGGGCCGTCTGGGAGGCCTCTGGTGGGCCGTCTTGGCTCGTCTGGGGCCCTCTGGGACTCTCTTGGGCCGTCTTGGAGGCCGCGTTGGACCATCTTGGGCGGACTTGGAGGCGATCTTGGATCATCTTGGAGGCCATCTTGGCCATCTTGGAGGTCATCTTGTAGCCGTCTTGGGCAGAACATTCGGGATTTCAGGTCCGTGGAAAAATCCCGGGACCCCGGCGGGTCGGGTCGAAACCCATTGGGAGAGTTCTTTTGGAAAAAGAACCAAAACCAAAACCGATAGGGTCTGGCACGCCGGGCACCCCTTTGCTGAAGCAGAAGGGGGCGGCGGACATAGTGGCCTTCGGCCCATTCCGCCACCGTGTTCTGGTTGTCGGCCTGAGATCCTTGGTGCCTGGGTTGTGGGTTAGAAGTTACATGCCTCAGTTCCGCAGGTGGTACTAGGGGCTTCTTTTGAGCTTCTTCGGGGCCTCTTGGGGGGACTCTTGGGGGCCTCTTGGGGCCTTTTGGTGGGCCTCTTGGGGGCCTCATGGGCCCTGTTGGGCGCCTTTTGGGCCCCCTCTGGGGCCGTTGGGGCGGGAGGCTCGGATTGTTGGTTCTGGCTCACCCTCTGGGGCCCCTCTTTGGACCGTCTTGGGGCACTCTTGGGCCGTCTTGGAGGCCACTGGGGCCGTCTTGGCGCCCTCTTGGGCCGTTTCGAGCGCCTCTTGGGAGCCTCTTGGGCCGTTTTGGGGCGGTTTTGGGGGACTGGGGCCGTCTTCAACGCCGTGAAGGTCGAAAAATCGTGTATGATAAAAATGCACGTTTGCCCGTAGGAATTCGACGATTTTGGCCTCTGGGGCCCCTTCCTGGGCCGTCTGGGAGGCTTCTGGAGCCGTCTTGGGGCCATCCTGAGCGTCTTGGGTCGACCTTTGGGCGTCTCGGGTGCCTCTTGAGCCGTCGTGGGGGTTGCTTGGAGCCCTCTGTGGCATCGTGGGGCCTGATGACACCGTTGTCCCCTCCCCCCCTTCCAAACCGGCCGGACCGGGCTCCCGGCTCCCGGGGGAAGGGTTTGGGGAGGGGGAAGCATCTCACACGCTGTGACCCCAAGGGGTCGGCGGACTCAGTCTCAAGTCGTCGGTGCGCCACGTGGTCGTGATAAGGCCGTGCTCATCGGTGGATTCCGCCGCCATGTTTGTGAAAACGCAGACTGGCCCCGTATGTTGTAGCCCTCCGGGTTCGATTCGCCAAGTTGGCATGTTGCCCGCTCCAAACGTGAGTTTGATCCCCATCGGTGGTCCCAGGTCAAGGGGAGTCTCACAGATGGGTCTCGTCTTTGCTCCATTGGTTAAGAGGCACCTGATCACCAGTATGGCTCCCTGGCTGGGTGTGGAGTCCCCCGTAGTCATTGTCTGGGGCGTGATGTGATGACGATCGTCGTCGATGATGCACACGTCTGTCGTTGGGTGCACCACCTCATCCTCCTGCTCCTGCTCTCCCTCCCCCTGCTCCTCCTCTTCATCCTCCTCCCTCCTCCTTCCTTTTCCTTATAAGTAACTCCTCCCTGTCGCACACCGAGACCGGTCGAAAGGGCGGGCCGTGCTTTTTTGGGGGACTTCTTCACAATGTATAATCATGAAGCTTGAAACTTGCAACAGTTTCACGGATGGAAGGCGTCTCACTTTCAAGATGGGGCTCTCACCCTAGCGCCGCGCACATTCGTGTCAAACGTTCGCAAGAGTTTTTCACAGATGGAGGGTGGCTACTTTTCAAAAGGTTGCTCTCGCTTTAGCGCCGCGTACGTTCGCCTGAAAGTTTGCAGGGATTCTGAGGATTCTCATGGCTAACGTCCCAGAAATTATGTTTTGGCACGATGTCGGAATGTCAGGGCGTTGCAGTCACGTTGATTCGCGGTGCTGAAGTCCAACGGGCACGATTCAAGATTGTCAAGACGCATCAGTAACCTTGATTCGTGGCGTTAAAGTTTCAAGAATTGTTCCAGCACGATTCTGGAGTTTCAAACGGTTGTTTTCCAACCGGGTATTTCCTTCAGTGACAATGAATCCGTGCAGCAGGTTGTGAAGAGGGATCTTGGGGGGAGGGCTTATTCCAATACCGTTGATGCGTTTTGTGTTTACATGGGTCCTTCTCCTCCTCCTCCTCCTCCTCCTCCTCCTCCTCATCTTCCTCCTCCTCCTCCTCCTCCTCCTCCTCCTCCTCCTCCTCCTCTCTAGGCCTCCCAGATGAAGTCGGAGTAGATGGGGTCGAAGGATCGGTCCGCATCGCCGATGCATCGGCGATACGGCTCGATGCGGAGCCCGAGTTTCTTCATGCCGATGGCGCCGATGCACCGCCGACGTCGCCGATGCATCACCGATGTATCGCCGATGCGTCGCCGATGCATTGGCGATGCGGCGCAATCCTCTGACCCCATCCACTCGGACCCCATCTAGAAGGTCTCTATCCTCGCTCCTCCTCCTCCTCCTCCTCCTCCTCCTCCTCCTCCTCCTCCTCCTCGCTCCTCCTCGCTCCTCCTCCTCCTCCTCCTCGCTCCTCCTCCTCCTTGCTCCTCCTCCTCCTCCTCCTCCTCCTCCTCCTCCTCCAACCCTCGGCCTCGAGGGCTTGGCAGCCTGGCACTGCCCCGGGAGGCCGGAGGAGGCCCAGCTCCATCCGCCCCCCGTGGCAGGGCCTGCGCGCCCCCGCGGCGGCCGCGCCCCCCGGCGCCCCGCACGGGCCGCGGCGCCGGGGGCGCCCAGGACCTGGGGGCTGTCGGGGGCTCGCCTATAGGGGGCCACATACGATTTCTGAGGGGGAGGGCGGGGTCCACTTCGCTCGCCGCCGAGTGGCGCCGCCGGCCCGCTCAGCGCGGGCGGTGAAAGGTATGAAATAAACTCTGCCGTCGCTGGGGGCGCCGCCCCAGGGCGGCGGGGAAGGCTATACACCTTGGCGCGCCACCGTGAGGCATGCATTTTTTCCAGCCGCCCTGGGACAGGCACCCCCCGACAGGGGAAAGGTTTATGTTCTACCGTTGTTTCGCCCGTTGGTGCACACGCTGTCCCTCGCCTTTGGGATGGCGTGCGCTGCAGAAGCCCTGGCAGGAGACGGGCGTGCACAGAAGGATCCCTCGCAGGGGCTCGCCTCGCGGGGATGGCGTGCACGGAGGAAGCCTCATTCTGCGGGACAGCGTGCTTTTCGGAGGTCGGTGTTGCGCGCTATCTCTTCGACGCCAACCGAAGGGGGGATGGGATCAGGGGGGGCGATATCGGCGGTCCTCGGCGGTTTTCCAGCCTCCGGGTGCTCTCCAGCAGCTGCGCCTCGCCGAGAGGCTTCCGGGGATGCCCCGATGGTCCCGAACGGCCGCCGGAGGTCTACACGGGGTTTGACCGAAAACTTGACCACGAGGATCATTGCTCAGGGGGGGGGGGGTCATGCGTCGACCACCAATCGCCCATGGATCGCCGATAGGTGGCCCGCGACAGCCCACCCCACCCCGCCCAGTGACGCGTGAATTCGCTATCGGGGGCTATCGCTTATCTGTCGGCGATGTGTCGCCGATTCCACCCCCCCTTCTGCAGGCCCCCCATCTGACGCTCCCCCTTCAGAGGGTGGCTGGGCCGCCGCCAGAAGACATAGGTTCTACGCTTTCGGGCGTGCTCCAAAGGCCTCCACAACAGGGCCGGAGTGGATGGGATCAGAGGATGGCGCAGCATGCATCGCCGATGCATCGGCGATGCGGCACCACTTGGTGCCCAGTTTTCTTTAGCCGGGCTTCGCCGATGCGTCGGCGATGTGGTGGGATCCTACGACGCCCTCTGCTCCGGCCCCACGACACCCTCTGCTCCAGCCCCATCGCCGATTCCACCCCTCCTTCTCTAGGCCCCCCACCCAACGCTCCCCTTTAGAGGGCGTCTGGGCCGTCGCCAGAAGACATCGGCCACACCCAGGGGCGTCGAAGAGGGGTGGGTGAGGATAGGGAGGGGATGTCGTGGCCAGGGCCATGTTATCTCCCAGACTGCGAAGGCCTTACGACGGCTGGCGCCGCCAGCCCTGGAGGGGGACCACGACGAAGACAGCGACGATGAAAAGATTCAGAAAGCTAAGGAACGGGAGGCCTCTTGGCCAGGGCCATTTTATTTCCCCGATGTCATGCCCCCCCTATCCTCCTGTCAATGTCTCCCCAGTGCTCTCCCCGTCCGCGCCCATGCCGCGGGGCATGGCGCGCTAACCTACCTCGGCCTGAGCATGCACTTCCCTCTTCGGCGCACCTGATGCACGCTCTCGGAGGTCCTCCTCCTTCTCCTCCTCCTCCTTCTCCTCCTCCCCCTCCGATGTCTGGGGATGCGTTCTATCAGCTGCGCCTCGCCGAGAGCGTTCCGTGGATGCCTCAATCGTCCCGGACGGCAGCCGTAGACCGTCGACCCGATCTATGCCCGGAAAGCCAGTCGATGTAAGAGTCACCCTTTCTTGGAGTGATCCTTGGTGCGCGGCTTTCAGGGGGTCCTCGGGGGCCAAACCAGAGCACGCAGGCCGCTACCGTCGCATCGCATGCAACGATCTTCAGGCCGCGCACCAAAGTTCACTCTTGCCTAATCAGGGTCGCTCTTGCGTGCAGCTCAAGACAGACTGGGGATTTGCGGCCAGCCACGGATTAAAGCACATCGCCAACATATTCGATCGCCATGAAGAAAAGGGGCCTGAATTTTCCCACCTTCAGCCCTTCAGCCTTTCCCCTCCCTGCCCCCCCTCCATCCCCCGAGATCCATCATCGCGTTTTTTGTTGCGCACGAGGCGATGTCGCTTGATCTCGAGCCCCGGGGCCCTCCCAGGTCGATCCGCCTTGTCGACACTTCCGCATGACATGGTGTCGAGGGCTCCGGGTCGTGCACCTCACGATGCACGTTTCGCGACAGCGAGTCTCAGGGCCTCTCATGTTCTTTTTGCCTCGGCCCTGTAGGGTGCAACTCCTGGGAGGTCAAATTCAGCATCAGTGCTGATATGTCCGTGGTCGAAAATCGATCATCCGGCCTAACCCCGCCCAGCACTGTTTCAATTCGTTCAGTCCCGCCTGATTTGTTGAACCCCGCCGAATCTGGCTGAATGCGTGAACACGGTTCATGGCCCCTGAAGCGGGCTGAGTAACCCTCAGTCGTTCCCGCGCAGGCCTCCCAACCTCTTTCCTCCCCCCTCCCCCCTCCACAGCTCCCGCACCCCCCCCCCTTCCCTCCGCTGGTTCCCACCCCTCTCTCCTTCCCCCCCTCCCTCCCGCCCCCCTTCCTCTCTCTCTCTCTCTCTCTCTCTCTCTCTCTCTCTCTCTCTCTCTCTCCCCCCCCTCCCTTCACTAGCTACCCCTCTCCGCCCTCTCCCCCCTTCCCTCCCCCCTCCCTTTCTCCCTCGCCCTGCCTCGCCCCTCGCCCCCCTGGGTACCTGCACAGGACGAGGCCCCTGCGGGGGACGGCCCGGCGGCGGGCGCGGAGGACTGGATGGAGCGGCTGAGCGACCCAGAGTTCATGGCGAAGTTCGAGGACGCGAGGGCCCGCTCGAAGATGAACGAATTCCGTAAACACCAACTTCTGGAGCCTCTTTCTTTCTTGAGAAACTCTGGCAAGCTTATTTGCAGCAGCGGGGGGGGGTGAACCTGAAGCAGGCCGCAAACGACTTGACGTGCGGAAATCACGCAAGCCGACAGGCTCTTGCACGCTCGTATTCGATTGGAGAGGGGCGAGGGGGGGGGGGGGAACGCCATGCAAGTAAGCTTCCCCGAGTCTAGAGAAGAACAGGCTCTTGGAGGTCCGCGCGGATTTCTTGGATCGGCGCTGGGCCCCCCTGGCGGCGCCTCTGGCGCCGTCCTTGTCGCGCTCCGGTGCGCCAGGGAGGGGGGTCCGGCGCAGACCCAAGAAGTCCGCGCGGACTTCCAACGAGTTCTGCTCATGCTGTTTTTGCTTGGTTCAGTAAACCTGATCGAGCACCAGGGCTCCCCCCCTCAGGGCCCATTTTCGATCCGATTCGATCTCGATTTCCCGGCGATCCGCTGCGGCCCGATGCTTGCATGGCGTTGTTGCGCATCCTGGCGCAGCCGATCCGATGCACATTTCGATTCGATCCGGATTACCGATTCGATGCTGACTGTCCCATTTTTCCCTTCAGATTGCGTGGCCCGAACACATGCGCCACCAAAACCTCCCTCCCCCCCTTTCTCTCCCAGGAAAAGAGAGAGAGGAAGAGCAGGGGAGGAAGAGCAGGGTAGAGGAGGGAGTGGAAACTGAGATCGTTGTGGTGCACATTCTTGGGGCCCCGCACAACAAGAATCGCGACGGCCAGTCTTTGGGCGCTCTCGGTTTTTGCAGTCCGTGCCCCGGCGACGTGGCCGTCAACAACACACGGCCCAGGGCGAAACAGATGGCCGCGGGAAACAGGGTCGAGGTCCCTGGGCCCGCGTCACGATCAAGACTGCGACGCTGGAGCAGGGGGTCCGTCCCCTCCGGCTCGTCTCTCTGGCGTTCTGCTTGTCCTCGTCCTCTTGAGATGATCAGCGCTGCACCTGCTCCTCCCCCTCGCTCCTCTTCCCCCCTCTCACATTCACCCCTCCTCCCTCCTCTCCCCTTCCTCCTCTCTCCTCCAGGGGCCTGCTTCCCTAGAGGCAGGCCAATTCAACCCATAGTTCACAAGTGTCCCG